CCCCCGGGGCAAGGGTGGGGCCAAAATGGCCGACCCTAGTTTTGCATAGGAATATATATGAAAAATCTTTAAAAATCTTCTTCTCCAGAACCACTGGGCCAGGAAAGATGAACTCATGTGGAATCATCCTCAGGTAGTGCAGATTCAAGTTTGTTCTAATCATGACCCCCGGGACAAGGGTGGGGCCAAAATGGCCGACCCTAGTTTTGCATAGGAATATATAGGAAAAATCTTTATAAATCTTCTTCTCCAGAACCTCTGGGCCAGGAAAGATGAAACTCATGTGGAATCATCCTCAGGTAGTGTAGATTCTAGTTTGTTCAAATCATGACCCCCGGGGGTAGGGTGGTGCAAAAATGGCCGACCCAAGTTTTACATAGGAATATATAGGAATTTTTTTTAAAAATCTTCTTCTCCAGAACCTCTGGGCCCGGAAAGATGAACTCATGTGGAATCATCCTCAGGTAGTGTAGATTCATGTTTGTTCAAATCATGACCCCGGGGGCAAGGGTGGGGCCAAAACGGCCGACCCAAGTTTTACATAAGGAAATATAGGGAAACCTTTTAAAATCTTCTTTTCAAGTACTTCAAAGCTTAATATGATTAGTGATATTTATATGGAATCATCCTCAGGTAGTGTAGATTCTGGTTTGTTCAAATGATGACCCCCTTGAAGGGGGGGGGGAGGGGAGTAAATTCAAGCCAGATGTGCTCAGGTGAGCGCTGTGGCCCCTGGGCCTCTTGTCTTTATTATTTTATTAGGTATTCATATGATGCATTCATTTGCATGTAAATTTTTACAAGAAAGCATCTTATTTGGACATAAGTATTTTTTTTTCATTTTCTTTGAAAAATTACTAAAAAAATCATATAAAATAATTAAATGCTTATGCCGACCTTTCAATGCTGCAACCATGGTTTAAAAAGGTTGACTAGAGATCTATAAAATAAAAAAGATGGTGTGACATTCCTCCTTAAGAGTATACTTTGAAAATAGAACTATCCTTGGGGATTAAATTTTGATTTTTATAGGTGAATATGGACTTCTACACTCATGAAAATAATAAAGAAAAATTCTTATTTCACTTGTGAAATAAATTCCGTATTAAACTACAAAACATTAAATTTCATGCTTATTACATTATCTTTGATTATCCTCTTGTCTGTTTTGTAACAAAGTGTAACTGACTGTGGGGTCATAGTTTATAACAATAATAGATTATAGTACAGTACAACATAGACAAAAACAAGATGTATTTGTGAAAAACTGCGCCTGGCGACAATAAAGTAAAAATAAGAGGCTCATAGGCCACACCGCTCACCTGAGCACTGTAGCTTGGGATTAAGCATAAATCAGTTTTTATTGAAAAGTTCAATGAAAAAAGTGGTCTCAACAAATTCTTAGAGGGGAAAGGGTATGAATTGAACATATTTGAATATACACTAAGGATATTTGCATATTGCTCTTGACATCTTAACTTACATCGTGGCCCTGGCCTACCCCTAGGCGACATGACTTGAACAAACTTGAATATCCACAACAAAAAAGCTATATTCATGCTTTTTGTATTCATCCCAAGAGTACAAGAACATTTAGACAGATTTAGGACTGCCTTCATGAGAAGACCACTTAGGACAGTTATTTTTCTGGTTTAGTGTGATTTTTGTTACATTGTGTCATTGCAGTTGATTCGATACGCAGGAGCATGCTCTAAGTATGAACAGTTTCTTAAACGAGGTAAATTATTGACAAGCAAGTTGATGAACCAAGAATATCAACAGTCTCGTTTAAAGTCATCATTTCGTAAATTCTATGGTCGATACAATGACCTTGTCAGCAAATACAATTTATCATTGAATGAAATGCTGACTGACGTTTTTCATACCAATTGTTAGTCCATTATTTATACACTGAATTGACCACGGATTTTTTTCGTTATTTCCTGATTATGACAACGAGCACACGGCGGGTGTGACCGGTCGGCAGGGGATGCTCACTCCTCCATGGCACCTGATCCCACCTCTGATGTTTCGGAGGTCCGTGTTTGCTCTGCTCTTATTTTGTATATTTGTTTAATGGACGTTGAGATTGAATACTGTTCGTTATTTCCATATCCTTCCTCATCTGTTGACATGGATATTTTGAGTGGAATTGTCCAGTGTAATCCATACAGTTTAAAGTTATTAAATTTATTTAGATTGAATATAGTTTGTTATTTCCATATCCCTCTTACTACTTACTTTATTGTTGTTGTGTTTGGTTTTAATGGTTATTTACTTATATCATTGTTTTCTGCATGAATTAACACTGATGGAAAGTAACAAACGTAAGTATACTTTATACATGTTCTGATTGAGTTAAACTTTGAAGGGCCATTTAGGCCCCACCCTCCCCATGATTGAACTTGCAGATGTTGCAGACAATGTAGAACAAATTGTTAACTCCTTGAGAACAAAGGATATACCTACCTTAAAGAGGAAACACAGTTTTCTCCAAAGAAATTTTTTTCTAGATGTTCCTTATTAGGAAAGAGGGCCGAAACTCTAGAGAAAAGAACAATTACCTTAGTTTTTTGCTCATCTTATCTTAAAATTAAGACAGCTTTTCTTCTCAACGCCTCTCTGTCATTTATCTACTTCTTAATTTAATTAAAATTTACTTTTATGACGTCTTCTTCTGAACCTCTTAGCCATTTTTTTTTTGGGGGGGGGGGGGGGGTAGCAGTTACACTAGGGATTAGTTGATACCACTTTTTAAATTATTGATTCATAATGTGACATTATCTATATCTAAAAACTATATCTATAATCGTGGCGTCGGTAGCCCAGTGGTTAAGGTGCCGGACTCCAAACCGAAAGGTTGTGAGTTCGAATCCTGGACGCGACAAGCCGACGTTGTGCCCTTGGGAAAGACACTTTACACGAATTTCCTCACTCCACTCAAGTGTAAAACGAATACCTGGCTATAGACAGTGAAAGATATTGTCAGAATGTTAGTGCTCTAGCGCTAATAACGGCAGCTTGCACTGAGAAAGATTCTGGATTGTTAAGGACTGCTGGGGTAATAATGCATTGTAAAGCGCTTTGAGTAACATTAATGCTAAAAAAGCGCTATATAAATACAATCATTATTATTATATTATTAACTGCTTAGTTATCAATGTTAACAGAGTTATCTTTCTAATCTGCCTGTAGGGTGATGCACATGTTGTCACAAGTAATAAACTAGTTCTCATCGCCATCTTTGATTCTGATTGTGCTACACATTTCACAATATTTTAGCCAAGATTTGATATAACAATAACAATATTTTGAATTGGTTATAAAATTTGTATGTACTGAAATGAACAAAACAAATAAGAATAATTTTTTCAATGAAGCTGTATATCAAGATAACTGTAAAAATCAAAATGGTATGTACGTCTTTTTATTTTTTTTTAACGGGAGTGATAAAAGAGGAAACAGATTCATAAGATCATAGTAAGATTTATAGTGCGATATAAGAAGACAAAAATAGTCCTCTAAACAAAAAAGTGAGCAGTACCTGCCGAATATGGCGGAAATGTGTCTGGAAGGAGAGAATGAGATACTTATTTAAGGAGGATTTACAAAGAACGCATACAGCACGGAGAAGGTAATATATCTGAATTAGGATAAAGGAACGAACAGTGATGAGTGCGAGAGCCACGTTTTGTTGATTCGGTCGTAATTTACCTTGACCAAGATGAGGATCTTAAGGAACTTTTGAAATCATCATCGTGTCATTTTGTGTTACATCAAGGTATAAGGTGCAACTTGTTGTCTGGTCTCTGTAACTGTCTGATACTTAACATAGAGGCATGCTGAATTCGCAAAATGGAGAATATTGACAATGTCAACATGAGAGTTTGAAAATAGTTTGTACCTATGGTTCTGTTTGTACAATTTTTAACGTGGAGAATCCCATCATACGTGGTCATGGAGAAGCCAAACCATAACGTCACCAATCCCAATGTTAGGTATTTTTGGGAGTTGAACTATGTTCATTCTCCCATGGTCGTCACGCGAGTTTTAGCGCAGTATTTTTCAATGAATTATAAAGAGGTTGTCTACAGTCGCTTGACGTTTTAAACCTTTGTCTTTATAAAAAAAAATCCCTACTTCAATAATAAACAAGGTCGGACACGTAGCCGTCTTGAATTTGTTTTTTTTTCAGGTCAACTACTTACCGTTCACGGTAGCTCAGTCGGTAGAGCGCTCGCTCCGTGATCGGGAGGTCGTGAGTTCGTATCTCGGCCGCGACTGACCTAGTCGTTAAAATGGGTAGCAACTGTTCCTTCGCCATGCGCTCGGCACTTTGAAGTGAAAGTTGCGGGTCCTTCGGATGAGACCTTAAAAATCGAGGCCCCGTGTCAGCGGCAGGCGTTGGCACGATAAAGATCCCTCACTGCTAAATGGCCCTGAGTGCTGAGTAAAGGTCAAAATTTGAAGCCCTTCACCGGCATTCGGTGACGTCTACATATGAGTGAAAAATTCTCGAGAGGGACGTTAAACAATATACAATCAATCAATCAATCAGGTCAGCTACTTTACTTCGTATTTTAGTCTACAGTTTGTTTAAAATAAATAGATACAACTCTTTCCTTGGAGTACTTACCTTAACTATGCCTCAGCTTTCGAGCAATTCAAATCAAACCACATTAAACCATATCTAATCTTTAAAATATCGCTTCAAACTCGGTCTACTACTACCGACTCGGTAAAAACGGAAGGCCAGAAGTTGAGGTTATTATGTAAATGAAATTCTCTCTTCTTAAATTAAATTGGTTAATAGAAATGTGACGTTAAGCGGGAAAAATCATGCAAACATGGCAAAGTGCTTTTATTTCGACATGTCAGTGATGCTAAATGCAGTGCAGTTCGAGGCTGTTTGATTCATCACCAGGCAGGTACTGGCAAATCTTTTCTTATAAAAGAAACCTTAAGAAAGTTAAAGACAGGGTTGTCGCAGTCGCACTGGGATGGCAGCTCTCCAGTTTCAGTCTGCTACCACAGTGCACCACTGGGCTGGGCTTGGCGATGGTCGATATATGAACCAGCATCTTCTCCAGGTCATTGCAGATGAGACCAAAGACCGCATCAGAACCTGCACCTTGCTGATAATTGACGAGATCAGTATGATCAGTCTAAAAAAATTTTAACAGGTATTTCTTTTATAGCAATTTTGTATATCTGCGCAGATCAAAGGGATCTCTGCAGCCCCCCCCCCCACTTTAGTTAATCTAAATATGTTGGATCCCCACCTCCGGTCAAAAAAAAATATTTGAATTTTCAGTTTCAGTTTAATTAAAAACTAAAATTTGACTTGAGAGACCAATCAATTTTTATTTCGTCGGTTAATTTTTATGTATGCTCAAATTAGTAGCATTGATAACAAGTACATTCGGTTATGTTCAGAAATCTACGTTTAAAAACACAGCATTTTTTATGTTGATCATGTTTTAAGTATAGTTTGATATCGGATGCTGGATAATTACGATACAAATTGAACATTAAACAGTCATGGCAACATCACGCATCCACAATCGTCCGTCAAAATTCGACGAATGCCTTACAGGAGACGACATCGATAATGTCGTGAATTCCGACGACAATACTGATGCAAAGATACACTTGCAATGTGACGGTAAGATAAATAACATTACCTTCAAAATTGAAGTTGAAAATATCGATATTTGGAAACAAGGTATCATTCTGTTCTTCGGTGAAACGAGGGCGAACTTGATAAACAACAATCGTGTGGTCAAAGTCAAGTATGATGACAAAAACTTCGTGAAATTCAGCTTTTATAAAACAGGCAGTGTCAATATACAAGGAGCGACATGCTCAAGTTTCCATGATACTTATTTCTCAAAATTTTATTGTTTGACGCCGAGATGGAATATTTTAGCCACATTTCGGCGGACAAGTTTGTTTATTGACCGTTTTTTTCTTTAAGTTTTTGTTTTTACTGTAGACTCCACATAAGCAAAAATAGGTGAAAAGATTCTGGTGAAATATTATTTGTAAGTCAGAACTGAATCCGCAGGGAAGAAACCTCAGAACAGGCACAGACAAAGAAATTATGTGGAAAACGTGGTAGCCAATTTCCTCATTGATGATTTCCAAACTTTTCTCACTGGAAGAGTCAGCATTCAATGCTAACAACAAAAAATATGCGACGAATGCTTGGGACAAAATACAGTGGACCTTCAGATTTCCGGATGCTTCAGTATCCGGACGATTTGTCATCAGAACGAAATTTGTGAATGTTGGGTTGTCTTGTTCAATTGGTGATTGAGATATCCGGATGCTTCACATATCATAGTAGCATTGATAACAAGTACATTCGGTTATGTTCAGGAATCTACGTTTAAAAACACAGCATTTTTTATGTTGATCATGTTTTAAGTATAGTTTGATATCGGATGCTGGATAATTACGATACAAATTGAACATTAAACAGTCATGGCAACATCACGCATCCACAAACGCCCGTCAAAATTCGACGAATGCCTCAAGCAATGATCATTCTTTTTTATCAATGAAAGTTAGAATTCTGGAAAAGATTTATCACCACACAAATAGTTTGTCGTTGAGTACACCTTTCCGTAGACAACGTGAAGAATTTTGGATTAGGAAACTAGGGACAGCCTTTCCCTATGGATGTAATGACAATCTCGATAGTGTTGGAAATCTTACCAGCCCACAGTGTAATAATGTAAATGTGATGAGACTTTTTAACAATACTCAGAGACGTAAGCGTAGTCATGGACATCGTTCGTACAATAAACCTGCAATACACGACGTCTCTTTTGATTCATTTCTACCTTATGTAAATCAACAGTCAAGTCTACATCATATTCGAACCAAACTTTACTCTGTCCCTTTGAAACTTTTAAATAGTCTTCTTGAAAAGACCAAGGAACATCCAAATTTAGATTCCTCGACACCTGAATATAGGCTCAGTTCTGTGATTATGGATATTGCACATCATAGGCTTTTTAAACCCGCACAATTCATGGAAGAAAATGCAGCTAAAACAATCCGTCTTTTCCTTAAACTTCAATATGCCAATAAAGGAATTGACGCGGTTAATATAAGTAATATTCTTAATCACAGAAGGGTGGGTCCAGTCTTGTATTCCACCATATTTCAAGTTAAAGACTACGCCTTGTATTTCCTACAAATATACATCGACCATTGCTTCCAAACTTTTCAATTAAAAAAACACTTTACATGGCCTAGATATTGACTATCTGAAAAATAATCCCCTTTCGTGTTCATGTTCTTCGCCCTATAACTATAGTCCTGCTGGACACGTTATTACAGGTGACGTAAAAATAGTTCGTAATGAGGACCTTAGATCACTTATTTTAAAAGGTCCTAAATATAGGGAACCCCGATCCTTCAACTGGCGTCGGAATTTCATAAATGTTATGGATTCTGTTGAAAATTACGCCAGACGATGGGCTAGATATGAAAAAGAAGACATTGACACCTTGTCAGAATGGATTAAATGTATCAGATCCAATTTAAAGTCACGTATTAAAAGATTGAGGGGCAAAGTGAAAACCATCTATCCTTCTGTGTTCAATAAACCAGAAGTGAAAAAAGAATTAGATAGATTACACGATCAGTACGTACTGGTTCCTGCCGACAAAGCAGGTAACAACATTGTCTTTGTTTGTAAGGCTCATTATATAAATTGCATTCTAGAAGAACTTGGATTTAATTCTACAAGTGGTAATCCTACTTATACATATACTTCTCTTTCTAAGGAAGAAATTCTTCAGAGTCATCTGTCAGTATTGAATACTTTTAATATTCCACAGAGCCAAAATGAATTTGAACTACCTTATATATATTGGATTCCGAAACTTCATAAGAGTCCTTACAAACAAAGATACATTGCAGGTTCCAGTAAATGTTCAACCAAGCCTCTTTCGTTACTTTTCACTAAAATATTGACAGTAGTGAAAGAAAAAATTCAAGAGTGCTGTACAACTATATATTCAAGAAGTGGTGTAAATCAGATGTGGATACTTAAAAATTCTAAAGAACTTTTGGACAATTTGAAATCACAAGACTTTACAAAAATCAACAGCATAAAAACTTACGACTTTTCAACTTTATACACAACAATTCCACACGACAAATTACATGTAAAATCCAGGCTTTTTGATATCATTGACAGCTGCTTCTTCAACAAAAATGGAACTCGTAAGTTTACTTATCTCGTCATTGGTCATTTGAAAAATTATTTTGTTAAAACAGATTCTGATTGCACACATAAGTACTCTGAAGTTGACATCAAGAAGATGCTTGAGTTTCTGATTGACAATATCTATGTGGTTTTTGGAGACCAGGTATTCCAACAATCTATTGGAAATCCCATGGGTACAAATTGCGCTGCGTTATTAGCAGACTTATTTCTATATTCAAATGAAGCAGAATTTATGCAAAATCTTTTACGTGAAAAGAAGAAAACACTTGCTGTGACCTTCAACTCGACATTTAGATATATCGACGACGTATTGTCTATTAATAATGATAATTTCCATTCTTACGTCGACACGATATATCCTGGTGAGCTTGAGATAAAAGATACCACAGAGTCCGTCACTTCTGCTTCATACTTGGATATTTTACTTGAAAAAGACACTAATGGTAATCTCACAACCAAGCTATATGATAAACGTGATGACTTTAACTTTTCTATCGTCAACTTCCCTTACTTATGCAGCAATATACCTTCATCACCTGCATACGGAGTATTTATTTCTCAGTTGATTCGATACGCAAGAGCATGCTCTACGTATGAACAGTTTCTTAAACGAGGTAAATTATTGACAAGCAAGTTGATGAACCAAGAATATCAACAGTCTCGTTTAAAGTCATCATTTCGTAAATTCTATGGTCGATACAATGACCTTGTCAGCAAATACAATTTATCATTGAATGAAATGCTGACTGACGTTTTTCATACCAATTGTTAGTACATTATTTATACACTGAATTGATCACGGATTTTTTCCGTTATATCCTGATTATGACAACGAGCACACGGCGGGTGTGACCGGTCAGCAGGGGATGCTCACTCCTCCATGGCACATAATCCCACCTCTGATGTTTCGGGGGTCCGTGTTTGCTCTGCTCTTGTTTTGTATATTTGTTTAATGGACGTTGAGATTGAATAATGTTCGTTATTTCCATATCCTTCTCATATCTGGGAACCAAAGCGTCGGGACAAATGAGAGTCCACTGTATATGGAATATGGAATGTAGAGAGGCATCAGGAGGAACTAATCTGAATCCTCTTCCAAACCAAATCCTGATTTTTTTTTTTAAGCCAAGATAAATATGCCTCTATTGCAGACAGATTTGGAATGAGCGAGTCAACATCTTCCTATGCAATACGCAACCTAATAGCTTTTATTCATGATCATTTGTTATCAAAAGAAGTTTCACAGTTCATGGCTTCTTCCTCTGTCACAATGGTTTTTAAGAATGATTGCTCACCGTGTTTTACAATTCATCTCTGTAAAAACTGTGGCATAACAGACAAGATCACTGGTTTGGTTCCTGCAGTGTTCAGATCCGTGTGGAATTTCTTCAATTCATCTGGTGTTGGGTCTTGTACTGTAGGTAACTTTCGCTGTCTCGGTCCTGGGTTCATCCATAGCATGATCTAGTTTTTCTTCTTCTTGGTCTTTGCCGAAGTAATATCTAAATCCTGCACTATTTTATATTTCTAGCTGACGAACGTATCGCTATCGTTGTCGGGGATAATGCAAAGTACCGAGCTGGCTCTGCCTTCTTAATAATTCTTAAATACATCATCACCCGAAGTCGTTAATGAGTAAAATTTCAAGTCTTTTTGAAGTCCGTAGCCGAATGATCCCTGAGATTATCTGTTGTTTGCAATCAATAGTTACCCCGCTTTTCCTCAAAGCCGTCTCAAATCTTGACTTACCCGTGTTTTGATGCCTAACCCTTAAATATGACCATTTCTAAACAACATGACCCTGATTTAACCTCACCAATTGCCCAAAGAAATAAAAAAAGGAGAGAATACCGATTTAACATTTTTACTACTAGTGTTTCTTTTTCTTTTTCATATTCCCATATGTTCTAACAGTCCCTTAAATCTCAATTTGGGTACTAGTTGGTAGGTAGGTAAATATATTTTTCAATGAAAGTCACGTTTATAAATAAAAATTTCGAAGAAAGCAAATTGTGAACAGATTTATGAAATGTCGTTTTTAGCAAAATACAAGGAAAATTATTTCAAAACAAGGCGGAGAATCTGGCATATTTCTTGTCGTACAATTGTTGTGAAAGAAATACGCACGCTCTCAATTGCCGGGTGATCTTGTCCTCACTTATTACCCGTCGGCAAATTCGCCGAAAAATCGTCGCATGTAATCAATTATGCAGGGGTCATTTGATGGGCCGCTTCACAGAGTCGCGATGCTAAAAAAAACGCAGTTCACGTTTCGTATGCATGTTCGGCATTGCCAAAACATGAAAAAGTCATTCCGTAGTTAACCCAGCGGATAAATCCAATCACTGGTGCACTTTACTTTTAGAAAGATGTACTCTTATATAATATCTGACGGATGTTAATCAGTAACCTGTACGAATTAACTTTTATTGTTTTAAATCAAACTGCGTGAGTTTTAACGAGAGTCAAAATATTAACCATAAATAGCGAAGTAAATTACGTATTCCTCAAAATTATGAAGAAATTCAACTTTCTGATTGGTTGACTAAAACAATAAGTTAGCATAATTTTTGGCGATATTTCAGCTAGTTTGCCCACGGGTAAAAAAGCAAAGACGAGTTCACCCGTGGGTTTCCGACGATGAAAAGCTGACATGAATTGTGACAATTAAAAGAAAATATTTTTACAAATATGGTAAAATATGAAATAACTGATATGGAGATAAGGATAAAAATTTAACACTGCATGCCTTTTCGATTTCATTTACTTTAAACATAGACACTATCCTTTAAGAATGCATACCCTTTCCACTGTTCCTTTTAGGGAAACCCTTGTGCCCTTCTGTTTTATTTTAATAGCATTTTTTCCAGTGGAGGACTTGTGAACATCTGTTTTGTCTGCATACTGATTTGTTCAGTGGCAATGTCAAAGACCTGCACCATGAAGAAGATTATACTTCAGTCTTTTTAGGTCACCTGAGTAAACTCAGGTGACCTATTGCTATCACTTTTCGTCCGTCGTCGTTCGTCGTGCGTCGTGCGTTAACATTTGAACATTTTCAGCTTCTTCTCTGAAACCACTGAACCAATTTCAACCAAATTTGGCATATAGCATCTATGGGTGAAGGGGAACAAAAATTGTGAATTTCATGGGCCCTGCCCCCCTGGGGCCTGGGGGGTGGGGCAAAAACCACTAAAATTAGTGCAATCTTTAAAAATCTTCTTCTTTACTCCTGGACATCAAGCAGTCAAACTGTTTGCAAGATTGTAATCAGCATTGAGTCCTCTACCAAAATTGTGAAATTCATGGCCCCGGGGTCAGGGGTTCTGGTGTTAGGGTGGGGCTAAATAAGTATATAGTGAAATTTCATGAATTCTTTGAAAATCTTCTTCTCTGCTTCTGGGTATTAAATAAACTAACTAAGTGCATAGTTATGATGAGCAAGAGTGCCTCTACCAAAATTGTGAATTTTATGGCCCCAGGGTCAGGGGTTCTGGTGTTAGGGTGGGGCTCTCTAGATTATATAGTGAAAATACATAAATTCTTTGAAAATCTTCTTCTCTGCTCCTGGGTATTAAATAAACTAACTTATTGCATAATTATGATGAGCAAGAGTGCCTCTACCAAAATTGTGAATTTTATGGCCCCAGGGTCAGGGGTTCTGGTGTTAGGGTGGGGCTCTAAAGATTATATAGTGAAATTTCATGAATTCTTTGAAAATCTTCTTCTCTGCTCCTTGGTATTAAATAAACTAACTAAGTGCATAGTTATGATGAGCAAGAGTGCCTCTACCAAAATTGTGAATTTTATGGCCCCAGGGTCAGGGTTTCTGGTGTAAGGGGGGGGCTCTATAGATTACATAGTGAAAATACTTGAATTCTTTGAAAATCTTCTTCTCTGCTCCTGGGTAATAAATAAATTAAATAAGTGCATAGTTATGATGAGCAAGAGTGTCTCTACCAAAATTGTGAATTCGATGGCCCCAGGGTCAGGGGTTTTGGTGTAAGGGGGGGGGGCTCTATAGATTATATAGTTAAAAAATACATGAATTCTTTGAAAATCTTCTCTGCTCCTGGGTATTAAATAAACTAAATAAGTGCATAGTTATGATGAGCAAGAGTGCCTCTACCAAAATTGTTAATTTTATGGCCCCAGGGTCAGGGGTTCTGGTGTAAGGGGGGGGGGGGGCTCTATAGATTATATAGTGAAAATACTTGAATTCTTTGAAAATCTTCTTCTCTGCTCCTGGGTATTGAATTAACTAACTAAGTGCTTTGTTATGATGAGCAAAAGTGCTTCTACCAAAATTGTGAATTCGATGGCCCCAGGGTCAGGGGTTCTGGTGTAGGGGGGGGGCTCTTTAGATTATATAGTGAAAATACATGAATTCTTTGAAAATCTTCTTCTCTGCTTCTGGGTATTAAATAAACTAAATAAGTGCATAGTTATGATGAGCAAGAGTGCCTCTTCCAAAATTGTGAATTTTATGGCCCCAGGGTCAGGGATTCTAGTGATAGGGTGGGGCTTTATTGATTATACAATGAAAATACACTAAATCTTTGAAAGTTTTCTTCTCTGCTCCTTGGTATTAAGCAGATGAACTACCTATGTAGTTATGATGAGTGAGGGTCATAATCTTCCAAAATTGTGAATTTCAAGGCCCCAGGGTCAAGGGTACCATAAAGGAGGGGGGGGGGCTGTACTTATATACTGAAACTGGATGAATTGTTTGAAATCTGCTCCTTGGTATTTATCAAATATTTTTGAAAAGCAAGGGTGCCTTTTCAAAAATTGTGCAATGTGTGGATCTAGGCCTAAGGGTCAGGGGTTCATGTGTGATTGGGGCATTACTGATCATGCTGAATATTACTGATTACTTGAACTGCAGTTTTTGTTCCCCTACCCTGCCTATGGGTATTAAGTAAACAAACTAAGCAACTGCTAAGTGTATTGTTATGATGATCAATGGTGCCTATTTCAAAATTGTGAATGCCATAGCATCTGGATTAAAACATGAATCAAATTCAATCACTGGAAAGTTGTTGCATAATGCTCAGGTGACCTATAAGGCCCATGGGCCTCTTGTCTTTCATACTTCACATTTGTTTGTCATTTTGTTGTTTCTGAAAATGGCCCCTCAGATTATATTGATGGCCCATTTATTTTCAAAATGGCCCATCAAAAATGTTGACAGTTGCGCCATAGTCCCATTGACCATTTTGGCCTTCCCAATCACTGCATTAAGGTCTGAAATAAGACTTTTAAAAAAATAATATAAGTTCAAAGAAAATCAAACAGAAAGTATATATTATAAAAGTCAAAATGATCAAATATTGTGGGGAAAAATATTGAATTTGTCTTTTATTGCAGAAGTCAAGCCTATTTGTGCATTCATGATAAAATATTGTGGGGGAAAATATTGAATTTGTCTTTTTTATTGCAGACGTCAAGCCCATTTGTGCATTCTTGCCAACAACTGTGATGAACCTATGTATGTTAAGTTGGTAGAAGCCCTCTGTGCTGAGCATGGAATTAACCTGTTGAAGGTAACTGGTCTGTTCTGATTAGTGCGACATAAGCATGCAACGTTTTTCCCCTTGATTAATTGAAAGCTTTCTAAGAATTCAAGTAATAAATAAGTTCATTGTTCTAAGCACTTAACAGGACACACTGCTGACTAAATAAATGTTGCTTTTCGATAAAAATTGCATTGGCAATGACAGCTGCAGTTATTTTACTCGGCTTTAAAACCTTCATTTGTAAAATTGTCAACAAGACTGGCAATTTTTGTTAGCATTTAATTTATTTATTATAAGAGAGGAATGCAAAGGAAATGAGTTGACAACTTCTTTCATATGATGATATCACCATGCTCCCTCTTCTTACTTCTCGTGGGGATGTATATGGTTTTAACTGATAATGACTTAGAATTTTCAACTCGCTCAACAGCAGTTTAGTTTGAAGCTAAGTGGAAAATAATGGTTATTGGGCAACCTTAATTATTGATTTAAAACAACTTACTGTAGAATCATTTTAATTTGTGGGGGCCAATGTTCGTGAGTAAGCAAAATTTTGTTGGTTCGTGGGCACGTAATTTTGTTGGTAACCCGTACATATAGAGGATTCAGTGGATAAATATGTAGTCAAAATAATTGTCGTGGGGATGTAAATTCGTGGATGAGGTAGACCCACGAATTGGATCCCCACTGATATTGATGATTCCACAGTAATTGATCCTTTTTTGGCCCTGTACCCTTTCAATTAAGAATTTTCCATCTTTAAAGAGGATAAATTTTAAATGTCAACGTCATGTATCAAATTTTACTGTTAAATAAAGAAATACTTTTGAAGGCTTATCCCCTATTCATGCCATTATGAATCATTAAAATTTTTAAAAATTTTGTTTATATGAAAAGCACTACTAATTCTTTAATTGTACTACCTAATGATTTTCATCAAACAAGTTGTAAACGCATCATGGGTTATGTTATCTCAACTTATCTATGCATTGAAATAGGTGATAGGAAAACAATACTTTGTATATACATGTTTTGTGAAAATTAAGGGGGGGGTTTTTGTATTGCGTAGAGCAAAATTATCAATAGCCTCTAAGCAAGAAAAATTAACATTTACAGTTTTTGAAGCATTTATATTTCAACTCCTTTCTTGAGAAGATATATGTTATTCCACTTGAAGATGCCATATACAGAATTATATTTTATATTATTTTGCATTTTACTACTACTTGCCAAACTTTATTTTGCATTTTGTCATTTAAATTCTGTGCAAGAATTTCACATATCCCGACTATCTAAAGCTTTGTAAGGTAAACAATAGTAGGTGGACATTGGACAATGGCAAATAAATAACACAAGTGCGGATTTGACAACTTCATATGATGATATCACCATGCTCCCTCTTCTTACTTCTCTGTGGGGATGTATATGGTTTTAACTGATGTGAAGATCATTAAGCTCAGTTGCTTTACTATGGTGCTGTATCCTAAATTGCACAGTCAATAGGAGTAGAAGTGTATTGAACATTAAAAGCACTGATTTGACATTTTTAAACAGGTTGATGATAACAAAAAACTTGGAGAATGGGCTGGTCTGTGTAAAATCGACAAAGAGGGAAAGGCCAGAAAAGTAGTGGGATGCAGTTGTGTTGTAGTCAAGGTGAGATAACTCTTGAGAAATTGTGTTTGGCGAAAAGTTGTTGCTGCTTCTGAAAATAGATGTTTACTGATAGCACTCAGTGTTACTAATTTGAAGTAATATATATTACAGGATTATGGAAAGGAGTCCCAAGCTCTGGACGTTCTCAATGACTACTTCAGGTCCAAGAAGTAAAGGATGTCAATAAAGGAAAAAAAAATCAAAAATAAAGAAAAAAAATAGAAAAAAATCTTTTTTCATTACTTACAAGCTGTGTCAATTTTTAGGTTTCACTGTTTCTAGAATTACTGCTTATCAAAGAGGAATTGAAAGAAAAGCATACCTGTGGTTTTGCCATACTTTTTGAGAATGTAAAAATATTAAGAAGGATGTTTTTAGATGCCATTAAAAGGGAACAAATTTAACTTAAATGTTGTAATGAGAGTTGAAAAAAAACTGGTTTTCAACTTGTAGAGGCAAATGCAATACTAGTCGGATCAGTATCATTAGGATAAACTTCTTTGAGGATAACCGTTCACGGTAGCTCAGTCGGTAGAGCGCTCAGTTCGTGATCGGGAGGTCGTGAGTTCGTATCTCGGCCGCGACTGACCGAGTAAAGGTCAAAATTTGAAGCCCTTCACCGGCATACGGTGACGTCTCCATATGAGTGAAAAATTCTCGAGAGGGACGTTAAACAATATACAATCAATCAATCAACAGTATATAGGTGATGGGAATTTGTATGTTTACAGAAGGCAAGAGTTATACCTTAGTACAATATTTGTAAATAACAATTTAATGGGTTTTTTTTGGAACATGTCGATGATCGGCACGTCACATACGTGACATAACATACATCATTTCAGATCAGTTGCGCGGTGAAGCTGGTTACAGTTGTCTTTGAGTTAAACGATGTGTGTGAACATGCACATTAACTGGTTTCTCTCATATTTTTTAGCAATTGCATTACATATATTTGTTGAATGTACAATTATTGTCAGCAAAACATGATTTTTATCTATTCTGTTGAATTAACTTAATTACCTATATATGTTAACAGTGTGATTTCAGGTGGAGGCCAATTAATCATTTTTTAAATTAATTAATTTCAAGTAATGGTTATATAAGGAATATGGTAAAATTGTACGTGTTGAATGTCTGTGTTTCTGTTTGTCTGCAAATGTGATATTGTGCCATTTATTGTATTAATATTTTTTTAGGTCCATGCAGATGGTGTTTAAAAGTATTGGCCAGCAAATGCACGCCCATTTGAATAGATCTTGAAACAGCACCAGCAAAGTGTGACAGTCCGCAAAATGTGTAAGTTAAAGTTTTCTAAAAAAAAAAATTCATTGAAGTGGGGGATGGGGTGGGGGTGAGGAAATTTACATATTGAATAGGTGATCAGAATGTGAAAGTATTTAGCTATAACTAATCTGTACATGCACTGCTATATACATTTTGCAGCTCATATACATTTTATTATACCCCACGCAACTAGTTGCGGGAGGTATAATGTTTTTGACCCGTCCGTCAGTCAGTCAGTCAGTCAGTCAGTCCGTCAGTCAGTCCTCTTTTTTTGTCAGCGCAACTCCTCATAAACCGCTGGACAGAATTTCGTCAAACTTTGCAGGTATTTAGGACACAATGTGTAGATGTGCATATTACCAGGAAATTTCGATTCCATTATTTTTTCCGGGAATTTCCGCAATTTTTAACTTAGGCATTTGGCCATACCTTGAATATAGAGATGAACAGTTTGTCAGTGCAACTCCTCATAAACCGCTGCACAGAATTTCATCAAACTTTGCAGATATTTAGGACACAATGTGTAGATGTGCATATTACCAGGAAATTCCGATTCCATTATTTTTTCCGGGATTTCCACACTTTTTAACTTAGGCATTTGGCCATACCTTGAATATAGAGATGAACAGTTTGTCAGCGCAACTCCTCATAAACCGCTGCACAGAATTTCGTCAAACTTTGCAGGTATTTAGGACACAATGTGTGGATGTGCATATTACCAGGAAATTCCAATTCCATTATTTTTTCCGGAATTTCCACACTTTTTAACTTAGGCATTTGGCCATACCTTGAATAAAGAGATGAACAGTTTGTCAGCGCAACTCCTCATAAACCACTGCATAGAATTTCGTCAAACTTTGCAGGTATTTAGGACACATTGTGTAGATGTGCATATTACCAGGAAATTCCGATTCCATTATTTTTTCCGGGAATTTCCGCACTTTTTAACTTAGGCATTTGACCATACCTTGAATATAGAGATGAACAGTTTGTCAGCGCAACTCCTCATAAACCACTGCACAGAATTTCGTCAAACTTTGTAGATATTTAGGACACATTATGTAGATGTGCATATTACCAGGAAATTCCGATTCCATTATTTTTCCGGGAATTTCCACACTTTCCATCTTAGACTTTTTGGCCATATTTAGAATATAGAGAAGAACAGTTTGTCAGCACCACTCCTCTTAAACTGTTGTACATAGTTTATTTTATCCCAAAGAGTTTTGCCTATTGTTCAAGAAAATTTCTCCCCCCCCCCCAACTACTTCAAATTAATGTTTTGATTTGTATAATGCCAAGAAATTTTGATTCCATTATTTATCTAGAAACTTCATTCCACATTTAAATGTCCTCATATGTAGGACATTTTGATGTGAAGATTTTTTTGCAATTATTGCCCTTTTTGATATGCATTTAAAGTGCACTGTGCCTTTCATTATGTGCTTCCGTCAAGTTTTGGGGGAGCGTGGGGTATGTGAGCTAGCTCACTTTTTCTTTCATTTATTCATTTAAGAATTTCAAATTAATTTGATCTACATCTTTGTTTTTTAAATTATGCATTATTAAGATAACACGCATATAAGAATTGAAATTTCATGAATATTTGACAGTCAT